TGACTGTTATTTATTTAAATTTGACTTTCTATTTTGATATATATAAATTACGATGATAGGAACAGTACATTTGCATTACAGAAAATTGGAAAATAGAGATGAAACATTTAGAAATATTCTATACACGCACTATGCAGTAATAACCACCATTAATATTCTAATGCATACCCTTCCAAATCTTTCTCTGTGTGTGCGTGCACACACACACCACAATGGAATCGCGTTTTTCATAGTGTCCTGCTACGTACTTCTTTTAATAATGAGTTTTCACCACAGTTACTCTCATCTAATCTAATAGCCAGAAATTATTCAGATTTCCAAACTGACATCCCAAATATCCTTTCTGATATACAAACCCATTCCTAATCTGCACCATGCACTGAATCTGATAATGTCCCTTACCTCTTGTCCAGTCTTGTATAGAAACTTTCTTCACTGTTTTGTTGAAATGACCAGGCCAGAATGTCCTACTTTCAGGAGTTGTCTGATTACTTTTTTGTGATACAATTTATTTTGTTCATTTATTTTCTCTAGTTCACATAAAGTGTAAGTCAAATCTTAAAATTTGCTGATAAAAAATGTAATTCAATTTTAAAAATTTCAGATGGTATAGGTCCTGTTGTATGCCTAATATTCCATAGACCCCACCATACATGATACAAATTTGACCCTCCGCTTAAGTTATGAAGTTCTGAATGTAATATGTGTGATTTCTGAGGAATATCAAATATCTAGTTCTCCATCGATCATACACTTAATGATTTTAATACCAGTTGTTCATTCTTGCCCAACCCAATTTTCATCACGGTTTGTTAAATTTTCATTTCTAACATATTATTCCTTCTACATATATTTGTTGTCCTTCTTCTCTAAATTAGACTTATCCCTCAGTAACAGGGTTGTTAAGTTTTGTAGTCTATTTATCAGACTGCTGATTAAATTCACTTATATCTACAGCAGGTGGATTTCCATAGATCTTAAAGGAGTGGTTAGGGATACAGGAGCATGATGCCTGCAAATAACACTGAAATAATGCAGAAAAAATAGTGGTCACATATATGTACATACATATATTATCATACACATTTTCATGAAGAAAGAGAACATGATACTAAAAACGGCTCAAAATATTAACATGTGATGAATCTGGGTAAATGAGAGTTCTTTACAGTGTTTTGAAAGTTTTCCATAATTTGAAATTATATCTCAATTAAAATGTTATATTTCAGGAAAATAAACACATGAAACACATTGATCACAATAATAGCAAATGAATGAAACATAAACTCATATTTTATCAAGCAAAATGGAAAAATAGGAAAATATATGATAGTCAACTCTCTTTTGAGCATAAAGGAGACACATTAGATTGCCAGTGAGAATACAAATTGATAATATTTTGTGGAAGTAGTTGGTGGTATGTGTCTTAGCTATAAAAGTGTACATAACTTTTGAACAATTCTGATTTAATTATTCCATAAAAAAATCAGAAATGTGTAAAAATATCTACAATTGTTACACCCATTTTTGTATTACTATTTCCATGATCAGTTTAAAGCAATCTACCTTTACAACAAAAAGAGTTAGATAAATTATAATACATCCATAAAAACGATTAATATACAGGCAATGAAATTAAGTTGAAGAAAAGTATTTGATAGCATTAGTTATATGAAAGTAGACTACAAAATATTATATTTGATGCATTTCCAAATTAGCTAAAGTAGAGGGCATAATTGCACATGAGTAAATAGGAGAAAAAAGATAAACCATAAACATGATACGATAGTTTCCTGATGAGCCAGTCCCCAGGACTCTGCCTTTCAGTGTGGCCTGTTATCTTCCCAAATCAGTCTCACATAGGAGGCTAGTTTAAATATCCCACTCCAGGATTTTCTAAGAGCACCAAGATTGATTTGGTGGCATGCTAATGTAGAATTTTTTTCTGAGAGTAGAACTCCAAGATTAATCAAGTGCTTAAGAGTAAATTTAAGCTTATTCAATAAATTAGATTTTAAACAAAGAAGGGCTCTTCTTCTCCGTCTCTTTTTTCATGTTTAAAAAATGAGTTTCTCCTTCTTTCTTTTCTCAAGCCCTGAGTAATTTAGTTTCAGAGTTTATTTCCTTACTTTGATTCTTTTGTCTTTGAAAATTGGGCTTGGTACCACATTTCCTCAGAAGCTGTAGCTTGTTATTGATTTTAATTATCTTCTTAGAGTCTAGTGATCTAGACTGTAGCCAAATTGTTTGGGCTTATAAACCTCTTTCTAGAACTTTTTACACAAAATACCTATATCCTGGTCTAAATTACACAGGGCTACTTCAGACTCCCTGTCCTTCACTCTCCCCTAACTCCAAGAGATCTTTGTTTTATCATTTACTGATGCTACTGCCTGCAGGCACCTCCAATATTAGATGTTGCCATACTCTTAATGAATTCTTTTTGCTAGCAGGGCTGGGCACTTTTAAAATTTTTCAAGAAATCTACCTTTAAATACCTCACCTGCCACATCCAGGTATGAATGTCTAGTCTCTTGGCTCCAGAGACTTGTTCAGATTTATTGCTATTAAGAACATTTTCCCTTTTGCCAGAACTGTTGGAAACCTCTTCTTATTCCACAATCTATTGAGAACCTCATAAAATTGCAAAAACAAACAAACAAAAAAAATCCACATTCTAGGGCTTCCCTGGTGGCGCAGTGGTTAAGAATCCGCCTGCCAATGCAGGGGACGCGGGTTCGAGCCCTAGTCCGGGAAGATCCCACATGCCACGGAGCAACTAAGCCCGTGCGCCACAACTACTGAGCCTGTGTGCCACAGCTACTGAAGCCCACACTCCTAGAGCCTGTGCTCCGCAACAAGAGAAGCCACCGCAGTGAGAAGCCGGCACACTGCAATGAAGAGTAGCCCCCGCTCACCGCAACTAGAGAAAGCCCGTGCACAGCAACAAAGACCCAACACAGCCATAAATTAATTAATTAATTAATTAATTAAAATTAAAAAAAAAAAATCCACATTCTACTAGTTAAGTTCAGTTATTCCACTTCTGGGAAAATAAATTAAGAAAACAAGCAAAAGTTGCAAAAATGCCAATTGCAAGTGTTTACATTTAAAAAAATAGAAAATACTTTTATTACCTGTATGATTTTTGGTAAGTTACTAAAACACTTTGTGGATACATTTCCTCAACCATAAAATAGGGATAATAATAGTACTTACTTATAAGATGGGTTTTGAGTTTTAAAAGAGTTAATGTATTCAAAGGCTTAGAACAGTGTTTACAAATAGTAGTGTATGCAAATTATTATTATCATCGTATAAGTAACAAACGATGCAACAAATTATTGTATAATTGCAGGATTTGAGAATAAGACCAACCATATGCCAGCACAGAGAACAGTGCAGTGGAACTGTGTTGGAGAGAAGAATTTTGACATTTGGATTAAAAAAAATCACATATTAAACCAATGAACTCTCTTCCACATGGGCCACCAGAATGACTACATTTCAAACAGAAACACCATCACGTTACTATCCATTGCATGATTGTCAGTGTACCACCTTCGAAAAAATCTTTTTCTCCTTTTAGATAGACCATATACTCTGTAACTTTTGTGTTGCTAGGTTGTCATTACATAAACTATATTCTAAATACAATATAAATCATTGTGATTGTGAAATTCGTTGTCTAATAAATACCTCCTAAGCAGAAATTTTCCCAGAAAAGATAATTTTAAAAGACCAAAGTGGTTATTATCTTGGAAACAGTTGACATGGAACTACATCAGACAAATCTAGGTTAAAATTCTGATTCCAACCCCTACTAGTGGTAGGATATATATAGCTAAGTTTCTGATCTTCAAAAGCCTTAGTGTCCTCATCTGAAAATGTGATTAATAATATTTATTCATACACTGGAATTCACATTAATTCATATATTTTGTTGGAGTAAAATAAAATAATTTATGTAAACTGTCAATTATAATGACTGGCACAGAGTAGTGTTAATAACAAATGACAGTTCTTACATTTGCATGTTTGAAATTTTAAACACCATGTTTTAAAAATAAAAATTGGGCTTATCAACAATTACATGCCCACTGGTTAGTCCATAGTAAGCCCCAAAATGAGAGATTTAAAAGTGAAAATGATCATTTGAGGGAGATAAAGAATATAACTGCATTGAGAAGTCAGGCATTAAGCAGTTTATAAGTTTTTTTTGTATTTTGTCTTTTCATTTTCCCAAATATCTAAGTCAAAGAAGATAAGGTTGAAAGACATAAGTACATCCTTTCAGCTGACAAATGTGTTTTTCTAAAGTTTAGTGCTGATTGTTTATTGCATTTTATTTTCCTTGTCTCAACCAGAAAATCTGGGGCTTCTCGTTACACTTGACTGCTTGCAGGGTCCCCGATTAGGAAATTATGAACGCTGAGATCTGCATGACTTAAATGAGTGTTGGGGTGTGGGAGCTGGAAGGATGTACATATCAGAGACATTAATTCATTTATATAAGTAGTCTTTTGATTTTCATAGCTTTATCTACAGAGTAATTAGTTTCCTATTTAATCTTTTACAGTCCTTTATAGCTCCATGATTGCCACGGATTGAAGGTACAAAGATTTCAATAACAGCATTTCTTTAAAGCAACATGTATATCTTTAAATCAAAACAAGCATAAGAAAAATGTATATTCCTTAAAGGAGAAAAAAAATCTTAAAAGTTCTGGTAGTGTTTAAGAAAACAAACAAAAATAACCTGTGTATTTGCTGTTCAATTTCAGCGTCTGTTAATGAAGCTCTGTGTCTTTTTTTTCTTCACTGTTATCTTGAGTGCCTGCAATCGTAAAGCATGACTCCGGTAATACCTCTGTAAATGAATCACTATTGCATTCATACAATTAGCCTCTGAACAGATGTCAGAAAGTAAAGATTGGCTGCCTCTAGATCAAGTTGCCGCTGCCAACTCTCGCGAGCTTTGTCAGTAACAGTTGATTGTAATGTCAGTGCAGTCCAATTTACAGGCTGGAGCAGAAGCTGCTTACTGCATTTCCCTGAAGTATTATATGATTTCCAATTCCTTGCAAACTTTATCATCTTCGTTGCAGTGAGTCGGGTAAGTTGCTCTGAATTTACATCTTCCTGTTAGAGATGCAAGTTACTGTGAAGCTTGTTCTGTGGGAGGAACGTGATCCCTTCACGTGTTTGCTGTGCCCCTTTGGTGCTCTGTGGGAGACAGTCATTGCAAATGGGACAGATAAAGTAAGGGAGCAGCCACATGCATCAAATCTTCCGATTGATTATTCAGGGAACGCAGACTGTGGCCATTTAACTGCTAAGGAAATAATGAATTTATTCAACTTTGTATAAAGGACCGTAGCACTTGTGGAATCACTGTAATATATGTTCCTAATGCACCCTCAAAGGGAAAACACTTTATGCTGTGTTTTACCCTTAAATGCACTGTTTAGTGAATTTTTCCTTAAAAGAGTAACAGAAGTGTTTTCTGACCAGTATTACTCTTTAGTTTTTTCTTTTTCTAAAGTGGTTTGAATTGTCTGGCTCTACAGGGTACTTAACATTTTGCCATCTGAAACTTTAACAATATCAATTGGCAAAGGAAAAGTCTAAGTTTCTTTTCTCTAAAAGGAAAAAGCTATTTCCCAGTTTGATTTACAAACTTTTGTCCCATTTGCCCTGTTTGTTCTCTTTCTTTTAATATGTGTGTTTATAGCAAAATATTTTACAATTGCTATTATTTTATTATTATGGAAATAATAAGCAAATATAGACTTTCTGCTCATCCTGTGATTTTGTAACTCTACCTTTATTTTGATATCAGTTCTTGTTTAACCAGAGGATTAAGCATTGAGTATAAAATATATGAATGATTAAAAGGAAACTGAAATGTGAGCAAAATTATTTCATTATTTATGATTTCTATTTGTAATTAAAAAAATTAAAGTTATCTCTTCCAAATTTTTATGAAGATATTGCACGATAATAAACTCAATTAGGAGTTACTGTCACTAGGCTGTGTAATGCTTCCATAATATAAGCTATCTCATATCTATGATAAATATTACATTTCACTTATATAAATAGTTACTTTGTTTAAGGATAAGCATGAGCTTTTAAAGAGTGACTTTTACTTTAAATGACATGTTTAGAATTCTCTGTGTATTTGAAATAACGTGACCTTTTGGAAGCAAATTAAATTTCTAATTGGATTTGCAAAGTTCTGTTTTATTCTCCTAGACCTGTTGTTGTTGTTCGTTTTTAATGTCCTGCTTCTTTAATTGTAAGAAAATATTGGGATCTACTCCACATTTCAGTTTTTAGAATATAAGCTAATAATATAATATAATAATAATAATATATAAGCTAATAGTAATAAGCTAATAACGTCTTAGCAAATGATATCTTAGTTACAAATTTAGTTTGTGCTTTGATTTATTTCTTGGTAACAATTAATAATATATACTTAAATTGTATGCTGTCTTCATTTTAATGCTTTCATGACAAAATCTGCTCATTCTTATCAAAACTAAACTGTTTCAAACATTGGAAAATTGTAATTGGATAGATGTTAACCTAAGAACAGATTGAACTTTCAAAGAAGACCCAAGATATCTCTCTAATTTTAAATGTTCAAATTGTTCACACAATGAAAAGTTTGTGGATGTTCTTCCTGATTGAGGACAGTTACAGATCTGTTTCTCATACCTAATATAGTGTCTTCTATGTATACACATCCTTTTAGTGCCTACTGGGTATCTGAAGGATCCCTGAAAGACAGTGGTATAGTCTATTTATAAACAGACTTCCTCAGTTCCCCACTTCACTTAGCCTACAACAAAACAAGCTCTTTAGGTTTGGTATAAAGGCTCAGTTGTTTTAACTGAACTAAGTACATTTTAGTGGCACTTGTTCTAGATCATATTTTCTAGATGGCTCTTTCCACACCATTTTAACAGTCTATTTTTATACAGAAATATATATTCTAATGAAACTTTTTAAAAGACAGGAAAATTACATTCAGAGAAACTATTATCAATTTTTGCATGACCATCATTTAAGAAGTCCTTGACTGGCCAATTATTTTGAAAATTTGGTTGATATCCAATTATGGCAAATATATGGCAAATAAATAGCTCTTTATATCAATAATTTGATTGCACCCATATTATATAGCATAACCTTATATATTTTAGAAATCAGTCAAGGAATTTTGATACTTTCAAAATTGAATTAAGAATGCAAAAAGAGGGAAATTATTTTTTACCTTTTTTTAATTAAAAATTTTTTTTTTAAGTTTAGAATATTTTCCCAAAATTGCCAATTGATTTTGATATCCTGGAGCATTTGATAAACTTGGAACACTATAGTATCAATTGTCTTTCAGGTTTTTCTCTCTTCCCACTCCCATCCATTCTCTTTTGCAATTCCAAACAAAACCTCCTTCCTTTAATCAAATATTAAAGATTATTACAATAAGTTAATTGATCTAAATTCAGATATTTAGTTGTCCTTGGTATAAAACTTTACCCCGTTCTTTATGATAAACATGTTATGTGTTCTCAGAGTTTAAATTATTTAATGTGCCAGTAGTCAATTTGCACCAGAAAGTATAGGAGGAAATAAATGAAATTTTATTGAATATTTTAATTATTAGTAAAGACTTAGAGATATAGAGTAATAACATTTCTTAGTCTCCTTTATTTGTCTCTCTTTTGATTGTTTAATCATGTGATAGCATATATTAAAAACATAAACATCTCTTAATGGTAAAACCACAGTGCAACATGTGAGACTAGAGAATAACAGGTTATGAAAAGAATAAAATAATGCTTAGTTAAATAAAGTACTGCAGCTAAATATAAAAAAAAAACTAGCCTATGCTAACAATGAGTATGTGAACGTAAGCATATTTTCCTATTAAAACCTATATTTAATAATATGGTGTATAATACACTACAACAGGTACCATGAAAGTGAATTGGAATTATATTGCCATTCTTGCAATAAACAAAGGCTTACAATGATTTTGTGAATGTTACTAATTACATGATTTACAATTACAAGGTGTAAGTACTTGTATTACTAATATCAAGATGATGACTCATAGATATCATTGTTGAAAAAGCAAGATTATTATTCATATAAATCATATTATATAACATTAAGTTCTACTCAGCACAAAATATAAATAAAAACATACAAGAAGTAGTAGTATAGGGCTTCCCTGGTGGCGCAGTGGTTGAGAGTCCGCCTGCCGATGCAGGGGACACAGGTTCGTGCCCTGGTCCGGGAGGATCACACATGCCAAGGAGCGGCTGGGCCTGTGAGCCATGGCTGCTGAGCCTGCGCATCCGGAGCCTGTTGCTCCGCAACGGGAGAGGCCACAACAGTGAGAGGCCCGTGTACCGCACACACACACACACAAAAGTAGTAGTATAAATTAAACTAAATGACATGGGAATGATAGTACAACCTTTTAGATGTTATAGCAGCCTTTCATAACACATGCAATGAAAATTATTATATTTATTAATTACATACAAAACCAAAATTTTGGTAGTAATTTTATATTTGCTATGCAATAAAATTAATAAACAATAGAATGAAAGTTTGAAAATTGTCAGAAAGCAAAAATTATTAGGATTTGTTTTATGGTTTAAAAGACAAAAAAAGATTTATATAAAACCAAAAAAAAAAATGATTGTCTTTATTAGACTCAGAAGACATTGATTGAGCTAGGCCAAAGGCAGGAATGAGTCCAACCAAAGATGCTGCAATTTATCTGTTGAAATGCAGCTTAGAATAAACCAGCTTTGTATCTTAATTCCTTTTCCTTTCTAAAGCAAGATTTTAAAAATGAAAAAAAAAAAATCTATCACAGCACTTTGCTTTCTTCCAAATGCTCTCCTCCATTTATTTAAAAGAAATGTCTTAGGAATTATCAGAAGGAAGAAAAAAAAACACACAACTGTGGTATGTGGTAGCAGTGTCTCTAAAACTCCTAACTCTCAGAAATATAAAATTTTATTAGTAAGTGTCAACTTTACAGGAAACTTTACATTATTATGACATTTTATTTACTTATTATTTTTAGAAGATAAATTGCATTTTGTTATGATTATAATAAAGCTAAATTTTATAATAGTATATACATAGTGTTAAAATATTGTATACTTCAATAATATATATTTATTGGTATTAGCACAAATTCAGTTGTATCAACATTGAGAGCATAAAAATTGATCTCATGGCTTGATTTTTTTAAACCTTATAACAATCATTATGTATAAATATATATGTATATATGCATAAACATATGGACATCAGTAGAATTAGATATAAATATATAGATATAGACACAGCCATAAACAGAAAAAGATAGAGGCAGAAATAGAGACAGAGATAGAGGTATAGATGGAGATATATCTATAAATACTAGACACTGAACAAAATAGTATACACAATGGACTAGTTTATTCAGATATTTTGGGGGATCAAAAAATACTTGTTGATCACTAGCTGTCCTATGAGCAGTGGTGAATGAGGCTGATTACAGTGAGGATCGTAGATCTGAGACACTTATTACCATAGATAGTGCCTTAATCTCTGCCTTCCAAGACAATGTAATTTAAAAAGTAGAATAAAAAGACTATTACAAATTCTCAGTGCTCACAGGATTAGCTTCTTGGACATATAGGTTGGACTTATTATTACACTATCAAAACATAATAAAAATATTTTGTACATGTATGGACCTTTGCTATTGTTATGTGGATGAGAATCAGTGTTTGTATTTGACAGTTTTAATCAGATTTTCTTTTTTCTTTCAGTTATATAAAGATGTTAGTTCTTTCAAATGATATCTGCATTACATTTTTCTGTCCCTCTTTGCCACTTGGAGTTTCAGAATCTGATTTAAATTTTCTTTTATTTAAAAGAAACTCAAGTATGCATTATGAATTTTTAATGAAAATTTGATTTCCCCAAATGTTCTCTTCATATCATTAATAAGTATTATTTAATAAAATGCCAAATAGTTATGATTTTATAGGTCTCAAAGATTACTTTTGCTTCTCCCACTTTTCCCAGTAATTTCTCAGTTTAATCCTCTTATTTCACTCATCGTGTCCACTATCAAAATACAAGTAAATCTGACCATGCTAACACATTTAACCTCCCTAGTTGCACATGCTTTAATCAATTAACAAATTAACAGGCATGCGTTGAGTAATCCCTGAGTGTAAAATTTCTTCTAAGTCAGTTTCTTCTCCCACATCTAATGTTATCTCCATTGACAATATAATTCAGATAGAAAAGCCCTTCGTGGTTATTCAGTTTCAGAGGAATTGGTATATATCCAGTCTTCCCTTTCCAGTTTTTCCGGTAGGCCTTTATAGTGGTAGCAGATTTGTTAGTTTTCACAATTTGTAGGAAAAATGGCAACTACTGTATTTTTTGTTACTTCACATTCTGTGAATTGCTTGTCCAAATTCTCTTCTGACCACAGGGTACAATTATATAGAGGAAGAAAACACTAGGCAAAAAGGACCACAGACGGGACCATGCAAACAGAAAAAGGCAGTAATAGAAGTCTGAGGATCCTTAAATGTTCTTAACCTACTGTCAAGAGCCAGCCAGCCATGATTAGAACTGTATATATTTCAGAGAATATATAAGCTTGTATTTCCTCTTCTAACTATGGTCGAAATTTAATCTATTATATCTATCATTAAGTAGACTACCATTTAATGCCACCTTTGGTGGTGCTGTGTATGGTAAAGAAGTGTATATATATATATATATATATATATATATATATATATATATATATACTAATGCCTTGGACAAATTTCCTCCTTAAAAAACGACATCTTTCTTACAGAGGTTTGAAAATGAATCTTTCCAAATTGAACTAATTTCTCCTTTTCCATTTCACTCATTTATTTCTCAATTGAAAACTGAAATATCTCCAACCGTTTTCTATGTTTTTTTATGTGTCTTTATAGCAGTAATAGATTTATTAGTTTTCATAATTTATGGGATTGATAAGAACTACTAAATTTTAGTTAATTATCATCAATAAAATATAATACTAGATGCATGAGGCTGTTAAAACTTCCCACTTATCTCTCTTGCAGAAACCAATATGCAGAGCAAGGGTACAATCATATACATCAGATTTCTCTTGCGGTTTCTTCTGCTCTGGGTGCTCTTTGGGAAGTCACACACTGAAGAAGATGTCATAATTACCACCAAGAATGGAAAAGTCAGAGGGATGAACTTGCCAGTTCTTGGTGGCACAGTAACAGCCTTTCTTGGAATCCCCTATGCACAGCCACCTCTTGGTAGACTTCGATTCAAAAAGCCACAGTCCTTGACCAAGTGGCCCAATATTTGGAATGCCACAAAATATGCAAATTCTTGCTATCAGAACACAGACCAAAGTTTCCCAGGCTTCCTTGGATCAGAGATGTGGAACCCAAACACTGACCTCAGTGAAGACTGTTTATATCTGAATGTGTGGATTCCAGCACCTAAACCAAAAAATGCTACTGTAATGATATGGATTTATGGTGGTGGTTTTCAGACTGGGACATCATCTTTGCATGTTTATGATGGCAAGTTTCTGGCACGGGCTGAAAGAGTTATTGTGGTTTCAATGAACTATAGGGTGGGTGCCCTAGGATTCTTAGCTTTACCGGGAAATCCTGAGGCGCCAGGAAACACGGGCTTATTTGATCAACAGATGGCCCTTCAGTGGGTCCAAAAAAATATAGCAGCCTTTGGTGGAAATCCTAAGAGTGTAACTCTCTTTGGAGAAAGTGCAGGAGCAGCTTCAGTTAGCCTTCATTTACTTTCTCCTAGAAGCCACCCATTGTTTACCAGAGCCATTCTGCAAAGTGGATCCTCTAATTCCCCTTGGGTAGTGACATCTCTTTATGAAGCTAGGAACAGAACATTAACTTTAGCTAAATTTATTGGTTGCTCTAGAGAAAATGAGACTGAGATAATCAAATGTCTTCGAAATAAAGATCCCCAGGAAATTCTTCTGAATGAAGTATTTGTTGTCCCTTATGGTACGCTCTTGTCAGTAAACTTTGGTCCAACTGTGGATGGTGATTTTCTCACTGACATGCCAGACACACTACTCCAACTTGGACAGTTCAAAAAAACCCAGATCTTGGTGGGTGTTAACAAAGATGAAGGGACAGCATTTTTAGTATACGGTGCTCCTGGTTTCAGCAAAGATAACAATAGTATTATAACTAGAAAAGAATTTCAAGAAGGTTTAAAAATATTTTTTCCGGGATTGAGTGAATTTGGAAAGGAATCGATCCTTTTCCACTACATGGACTGGTTAGATGATCAGAGAGCTGAAAACTACCGTGAGGCCTTGGATGATGTTGTTGGGGATTATAACATCATATGCCCTGCCTTGGAGTTCACCAAAAAGTTCTCAGATATGGGAAACAATGCCTTTTTCTACTATTTTGAACACCGATCCTCCAAACTCCCTTGGCCAGAATGGATGGGAGTGATGCATGGTTATGAGATTGAATTTGTCTTCGGTTTACCTCTGGAAAGAAGAGTTAATTACACAAAAGCTGAGGAAATTTTGAGTAGATCCATTATGAAACGCTGGGCAAATTTTGCAAAATATGGGTAAGTGCCAATTTTTGTAGTTGTTCTTGTTTGGCTTTGTTTTGTTTTGCTTAACTTTTCTTGGTCTCCAGTGTAGACTTCATTAAAGGTACAGAAACATTTTGATTATTTATTCTCTTCATGCCTTAAGCTGGTTTTGTTTTTTATTATGTACTGCATTTCAGTTCCTTGCATCAGAGTGCTTAAGAGAAATAATCAAAGAACTTTTATGAAAAATATTTTCTGATTTCATTTCCAAAGTACTTCAAAGTACTTTAACAATGTTCACCAAAGTTTGTACGGAAATAGATGTTTACCTTGAGAACTAAAATTACTGTGACATGTTATTAAGCCTGAAAGTTTATAGTGTTCACAGGTTTAAGAAAGATTAGGAATATCTCTCTTTTTCTCATGCTCTTAAGCACTAGTACATTGTTACCTGATACACAAAGAAATACATCCCTGCTCAGGAAAATCAAAGGGCAAGATGGTGATAGGGTTGTCCCTCAGATTATTCAAAATACAGAATTTGCCATTTTATCAACGTTTTTTATTCCCTAATATGTTTGTTCAGAGCTTTTAGGTAACCTGTGTTGAGCGAGAGCTACAACAAGCTACATCTTGTTCAGCTAAGCTGTTTTACACTTGAGTAGTCATATGGATGACATTACATAATCAGAGATGTTACAAAAGAACATATTTTCCCTCGTATTTTATAAATATTGTGATAGTATGTCTTCAATGATCAGAAGAAAATAATCTCTTTTAATATATATTCTATTTTTTTAATATTTTGTGTGTGTAAAAAATAAGTTGTTTTTTTTTTTTACTGTTTGTAACCCCAAATTGAATTTTATACATTGGAATAATTTGTATCAATGAGAATAATAAAAGAATAGAAATTTGGGCATCGCTTTTTTTGAAAAGTGCTTACAGAAACTCATAATCTGATTGATGCATTAATCCAATTTGTCATCCTGTGTTTTACAATTGAAAAGAATCTTGAGAATGATTTTGCTTTCTGGTTTTCTTCTCCATCCTCCATTTGGAATTCATTGTACTCCATGTTACTGTATGTATCTCTCTACAAAGTACTTGTATGATATAATTCATCTCAAAATTTTTGATACTTATTTACTGTGTATAAAACTAAAACTCTTCCATGTGGCATTAAGAGGCTTCTATAATCTTGTTGCAACCCGTACTCCCCAACGCCTTGTTGCTTGGTAGATGAGTTATCTCATGAATACCAAAGATTTCAAGCTTAACTACACCTTAAAGCCTTGTTCTTGCTATGTGCCCTGCTTAGAACATTTACCTCTCTCCTTTTTAATGACACAAGTCCTACTATTTTGTTAAAGTTTTGACTGACTACATGTTTCATACAATGTATATTTAATTCCTAGAGTTGTAGTTCCTTCAGACTTCTTTTTCAGTCTTACAGAAGCCACTGACTGTCACGTGTCTAAATCCTATCTTTCATTGTATTCTGAACCTCCTAAACTAGACTAAGAACTAACTTCTTGAAAGAGAACCTGTGGTTTTATTGGATACTCATTAAAGTACTGACATTATGGGTAAAAAATTTCTTTTTCAAGATATGTAGGCTATTATATTATCTGTTATTATATTATCTGTAGCTGTGCAATATCTTACACCTTCTCAACATCAGTCTAAATTTCTGCTTAAGAAGGATCATCTTATTTCTAGAGCTGCATTAGAATTATGTATATTTCATTCTGTTCTCTCCCTCAAGGTTCTATCCATATTAAATCATCTGAATATACTTTTAATTCTTTCTGGCAATTCTAGAGATTATAAATAACTTAAGGGGAATATTAAGGGAATTTAAGGGAAATATCAATATTTCTGCAAATTATTGACGCCTGTAAATTTTTAAAGGACTTCATACTTTGCATGTTTAAATCATCAAGAAATTTATATTTTCTTATTTCACAATTGGGAACACTGAGAACCAGATGTGGTAAAGGTCATATTTATGGTACACAGATAGCAACAGGTCAAAGAAGAGAATATTTGACAATTAATAGAATAATAGATTGTTTAATCCTAATCTCCTTCTATGATTAGCATATTTTAATGGGAAATAAATAAAGGTTGACACATTTTAATTATAATGATAAATTCATATAAACAAGATTATAAACCATAAAAATTAAACTTTTTTAAGAAGTTCAGCCATAACAAGATGTCATTTCAGTCGGTGCATTTCTTTAGAGCCCATGTTTGCACAGTTGAACAGATAATAGCATGTCATTTGTGTTGAGATTTGACTTGATGGCAAACATAATTTTGATCTCCTGCTGTGCACTATCTGTTTTCAAAGTATACCTATGAATAAATACAGAAATTTAGAATGATTAAATAAACTCCATGGAAACAAAGTTGGTTTAAGCGTTAGGTTTGGAAATCCACCCATATTTATTTGACCACAAACATGATGTTTGATGTCCTCTTCCCAGAGAGATTCTCCCCCTTGGTTCCCCTCTACTCCCCATACCGGGGACATTTAACAATGTCTGGAGTTGGGATGCTACTAGCAAGGTAGAGGCTAGGGGTGCTGCTAAACATCTTAAAATGCACACGACAGCCCCCCACAACAGCGAATTATTCATTCCAAAGGTCAGTAATGCCAAGACTGGGAAACTGCAGGATTTTACTTCCATATAACCCCAAAATGACACATCAAGAAAGTAAAAAAGTAGAACTGAGCATTGTAATAATCATCCAGGAAAATGAGTTTTCCAGTTCGTGGTTCATAAAATGTTTTAATGAATTTTCCTCCTTAAATAGTAAGTTTAGTATATATTGTATTTCTCATTAGGATTAAGTTCAAAATAATTTTGAATTTTTCTTTGTGATATTTTATTTTGCCAGTGGGTTGTTTAGTAGTCTATTGTTTAACTTCCAGCTATTTGGGTAATTTCTAGATATCTTGTTGTAGATTTCTAATTGAATTCAGTTCTAGTAAGAGACTATACTCAAGATTTTTCCCTTTGAAATATATTGAGAATTATTTTATGACCCAGCATATGATCTTTATGGGTGATTATTTTATGTGCTCTTGAAAAGAATGTGTGTTCTTCAATTATTTGGTATGGTGTGTTCTGTAAATTAATTAGTTCATGGTTGCTCAGGTCTTCTAATAGTCTTACTAATATTTTTTGCCTACTTGTTTTAAATACTGAGAGAAGGGTATTAACATCTTGGACTATAACTATGGTATTATTTATTTCTCCATTTAGTTCTGCTAATTTTCCTTATAATATTTTAAATCTATACTATTAATTCCATGTACTTTTAGGATTATGTAGTCCTGATTAATTGGCTGTTTTATCATTATGAAATGTCTCTGTCCTATAGTTGACTTTGCCTAATATTAAGATAGATACATCAAGTTTCCCCATGCTTACATTTGCATAATATATTTTGTTCCATCCTTTTACTTGAACCCAACTATTTAAAAACAAACAAAAAAAACCCCTTTCTTACAGTTGGTGTGATTAACCTATTTAATATTTAATGTAATTGTCAATATGTTTTTGTTTAAATCTACCACCTTGCTATTATTTTTTTCTCTTTTTTTTTGAATTTTATTTTATTTATTTTTTTATACAGCAGGTTCTTATTAGTCATCAATTTTATACTCATCAGTCTATACATGTCAATCCCAATCGCCTAATTCATCACACCACCATTCCAAACCCCCTTCCGCTTTCCCCCCTTGGTGTCCATACATTTGTTCTCAACATCTGTGTCTCAATTTCTGCCCTGCAAACTGGTTCATCTGTACCATTTTTCTAGGTTCCACATATATGCGTTAATATACGATATTGGTTTTTCTCTTTCTGACTTACTTCACTCTATATGACAGTCTCTAGATCCATCCACGTCTCAACAAATGACCCAATTTTGTTCCTTTTTATGGCCAAGTAATATTCCATTGTATATATGCACCACATCTTCTTTATCCATTCATCTGTTGATGGGCATTTAGGTTGCTTCCATGAGCTGGCTATTGTAAATAGTGCTGCAATGAACATTGGCGTGCATGTGTCTTTTTGAATTATGGTTTTCTCTGGGTATATGCCCAGTAGTGGGATTGCTGGATCATATGGTAATTCTATTAGATTTTTAAGGAAACTCCATACTGTTCTTCATAATGGCTGTATCAATTTACATTCCCACCAGCAGTGCAGGAGGGTTCCCTTTTCTCCACACCCTCTCCAGCATCTGTTGTTTGTAGATTTTCTGTTGATGCCCATTCTATCTGGTGTGAGGTGATACCTCATTGTAGTTTTGATTTGCATTTCTCTAATAATTAGTGATGCTGAGAAGCTTTTCATGTGCTTCTTGGCAATCTGTATGTCTTCTTTGGAGAAATGTCTGTTTAGGTCTTCTGCCCATTTTTGGATTGGGTTGTTTGTTTTTTTTAAATATTGAGCTGCATGAGCTGTTTCTGTATTTTGGAGATTAATCCTTTGTCCATTGCTTCATTTGCAAATATTTTGTCCCATTCTGAGGGTTGTCTTTTCATCTTGTTTATGGTTTCCTTTGCTGTGCAAAAGCTTTGAAGTTTCATTAGGTACCATTTGTTTATTTTGGTTTTTATTTCCATTACTCTAGGAGGTGGATCAAAAAAGACCTTGCTGTGATTTATGTCAAAGAGTGTTCTTCCTATGTTTTCCTCTAAGAGTTTGATAATGTCTGGCCTTATATTTAGGTGTCAAATCCATTTTGAGTTTATTTTTGTGTATGGTGTTAGGGAGTGTTCTAATTTCATTCTTTTATATGTAGCTGTCCAGTTTTCCCAGCACCACTTATTGAAGAGACTGTCTTTTTTCCATTGTATATCCTTGCCTCCTTTGTCATAGATTAGTTGACCATAGGTGCGTGGGTTTACCTCTGTGTTTTCTATCTTGTTGTATTGAGCTATGTTTCTGTTTTTGTGCCAGTACCATATTGTCTTCATTACTGTAGCTTTGCTGTATAGTCTGAAG